TTCAGAATCCCACGAAAAAAATTCCCCCCAATGACCTCGTACCATAGAATGTTATTGCACAGAGTAGCTGCTTATTTCGGCCTGGAACACAACGTGGACCAGAGTGGGAAGTCGGTGATCGTGAATAAAACGAGCAGTACCAGAATGTAAGTTGCTGTTCTTTTTTTAAATATTATTTACTTACTTTGTTTGTTCGTTTGTCATTGAGTTGAGTTCCATCAGTAATGGATGTTTGAGTTTATGACTAAGGCAGGATAATTACAGTATCTCTGCATGAATTATCCTTAATTCTGTAAAAATCACAATTACAGAATTTTCTTTTGGATTTGGAGAAAGAAAGAAAAAAAATCTATCCATTATACCTCTTAAAAATATATCCTGTTTTCATTGTGTAAAAAAAAAATTTATTTCTGAGTTACAGTAATTTGCTTCTAGAAAAAGACATATTTCTTTGGGGGGAAAAAAAACTCCAGCATATGAACTGGCTATCACAATAGAGGAAGAAGTTTTGCCTCTGTCTTTTTTTTTTTTTTTTAATTAGCTAAATTGGACTTTGCAGAAAAGCAGAATCTGGTAATTACTGACTACTTGGAGTGATTCCATTTTAGTACTCCATTAATTGTGTCGTATTTCAATACACAACCCTTCCTCCTCCCCCCCTTGCTTAGTTGGAGAAATAAACTAGGGCAGTGTTTCCCAAACTTGACAATTTTAAGGCATGAGGACTTCAACTCCCAGAATTCCACAGTCAGCAATGCTGGCTATGGAATTCTGGGAGTTGAAGTCCACATGCCTTAAAATTGTCAAGTTTGGGAAACACTGAACTAGGGGACCAAAAGTTCTATTTAAAATTTAATGTAACCAGATGCAGTGGATAACTGCATCCATTCGTTAAACCCTCTGCCTGAGATGGTTTGGGAACAGCATTGTAGCAGCTGTTGATGAAGTTTTTGGAGAACAAGCTATATTTAGAATACTTCCATGGCAAAGGCAATCTCAGCTAGAATCTGGAAGACCCAGGTATAATTAGCAGGCATTTCCTTGGACCAATAGACAATGTAAATCATTCAAAGGTTTTCAGTGTTCTTATTTTATATCTCGGGGGATTTAAAATAAGAATTTAGCTGGAAAACCTTGGCAATCTAAAACCCAACTTACCTTTTCCTCATAGGGAGATACCCCGCTCCAGTGCCGGTCTGTGCTGTTAATGACATCATCAACCCAGGGCACACTGGGACGACTCAGTGGAGTGGAGTGGTGATGGCAGGGCAGTAAATTCAGGGACCTTTAAGAAAAAAATGAGGTAAGACAGTCTAAAGGTTTTCCGAAGTGCCTGCTAATTACATTCTGGCATCCAACAATTCTTAGGTAGTGTTTGAGCATTATTTCGTCATTGACAGTGCAATTCGGGAATTAAAAAGAAACTCGATCCTGCTTTTTTGCAAATTTCTCAAGTAACAAGCGTGTGAGGACATATAACTTTGTATGTTTTTATGGACCACAATCATAATTATTTCTAACACCTTGAAAAAAATTTTTACAAAAATTTCTTAGTACCCTGGAAGTTGGATGTTTAAAAGCTAAAAATATCTCATTATGTCATCAAAAGTAGGACTTTATAACTGTAGGCATGTACAGGTTTGTTCTGAAATCTTTCTTTGCCCCTAAAACATTCATTTCTCTGCTTCCGTGTCTTTTAGTAATAGCCAAAATTTAAAGAATCCACAGAAAAAAAGTTTTTTTTTTAAAAAAATGGGGTAATAAGCAGTATATCAAAAGTAAGGTATTGAAAACAGAATTAGCCCAGATGTATCACCTTATGCTTCATTATTAAACATTTATTTTTGTGAATTAATAATTAATTAATTTTCTAAAAATAGTTGAAAATGTAACAATCAAGTTGGCTTATTCTTTTGTGTTTAGTGATATGATAAAGTCTGGCAATTTTGGAAAAGGACTTAAAATTAAACAAATTCTAAAATTTGAATTCCTTTTCCATTCTCCCATCCTTTTATTAAATATCATTAAACCTTACATTTCTTTGAAGTAACTTTGGATATGCTAACTGCTAGGTATGTTAACTTGCTGCCTTCCATCGGAACACACATACAATTCCTTCAGCGGAAAAATGACAAATCAAGATGTAGCAGCTCCAAAGTCGGTATCAGATTCTCCTCATAGATTTCCAATGTGTGAAAGAAAAGTAAAACCTACAAGATATTCTGATAACCTTTGTACCACTAAATGGCCTGTTGTCCACATGTATCTTACAATTTTATTTTCCTCAAACCTAAGGACCACAAAAAACTTCCTTCGTATTTATAATTATTTATTTTATTTTAATCTTTTTTTTTTCAAAAGACCTGACCAGAAGTTTTGCGAACATATAAAAGATGAAAAAAGTGAAGATTTTCAAAAACGGTACATCCTGAAACGAGAGAATTCTAGTCTAGACAAAGATGATAATCAGGTAAATATGGAACATAACAGTATCTTGACTGCAAACTTATATTGCGCAATATAAATCAGCAATTAACAACTTATTTAATTTAGATGCGAATACGATTAAAAGATGACAGAAGAAGCAAATCTATAGAAGAGCGAGAAGAAGAGTACCAGAGAGCTAGAGAACGAATATTTGCACAAGATGTAGGTATTAAGGAATGTCCACAGTATCTTGGACTGTGTGTAAGAACAATAAAGTTAAAGTGCATAATTAAAGTGCTCAAAATATTTGGAAAAATTGTCTCTGCATTCCCATTCATGATTGCATTAAGGGAACATTTATAAAGTAGTGGATAGAGCAACAAATTGGTTGCTGGGGGCTAGGTTGCTAGGCTGGGGGTTTCCCGTTTCCTGTTCTTATGGAGAGATTGTTCATAACAATTATGTTAGCCATGGGTGTTGGTAAAGTCTGGGCATCTGTTTATACAGGTGATAGTCATATACTTGTTTTAATCATTCATATTGTGGTAATTTTGCATTTTCTAAGAACAGCAGCCAAGGCTCAGAGATGGTAGGTTGACAGGTTTTAAATTAACTTTAAAATTAAGAGTACACCCAACAATTGTTTGTCCAGCTTCGTTTTCTCCTAGCTTGCAAATAAAAGATAGTGAAACAAAGAGTAATAAATCCTGCTGTGGTTTCCTCTGTTTCTCTACAACAGAGAACAGTCATACCCTTGATGAGTTGGCTGAGGTGAGTTGGCTGCAGCGAATTGCAAGACAACTCGCAGACAACTCGTCACGGCCAATCTGATGCAGCCAATTCCCCACAGGCAACATGTCCCAGGACAACTCGCTATGGACAACTGGCCACCAGTAAACTCGCCGTAGGACAATTTAACAATTCAATGATTTAAAATAAATAATTATTTTAATTTTTGTCGTTCACATTTCATTCTGCCTCTCCTTTTACATCCTTTCTTTAAAGGTTCTATTCCACCATTTCTTTGATATTAGTGTAACTCTTGTCCCGCAACGAGTTGTCCCATGGCAAGTTGGCCTTGGTGAATTGTCATAGACCCTGCACATTCTGTTGACTAGCAGTTACATTTTGTTTCTTTGCTCCCCGTTTGTTATATTTAAAGCCTGTCTGAATGATCACATTAGCCTGGCTGAAGGATTTGGTAATCTTCCTTTAATAATTGCTTGCAACTGGTTACCAGTTGTTGTTTCCACCTAGGTGTTTATACATTTATTTCAATATGAATTGATGATAGAATCGTTTAATGGGGGTGATTTTTATTCTACATTGTTTCTTCCCCAGTCGCTGTGTTCCCAAGAGAATTATATTATTGACAAAAGGTAAGCATAATCAGTATTTTTTTAAAAAAAAAAAAGCTTGTTTTTTTTTCTAAATACAAATGAGAGAAAGTACTAAGCTACAATTTTATTGAACACGCCAACAGAATTCAAGAGGATGAAGCCAACAGTACCCAGCAAAGGCGACAGATATTTAGGTACTGAATGTATTAGTTTTTTTAAATCCCAAAGCATTCTACACGTATTTCCTTTTCTTTCTTTCTTTCTTTCTTTCTTTCTTTCTTTCTTTCTTTCTTTCTTTCTTTCTTTCTTTCTTTCTTTCTTTCTTTCTTTCTTTCTTTCTTTCTTTTTTGATGCTTTGGCAAAGAGTCTTCCATCTTTAAAAACTAACCTTATGGATTACAGAATCAACAAGGATGCTTCAGGGAGGTCGGCAAACAGTCTCCAGAGCAGTACAGACAACGAGCTAAAGTACTCGGAACCCCGTCCGTGGAGCAGCACAGACTCGGACAGCTCTCTTCGCAGTTTGAAGCCCCCTGTGACCAAAGCCAGCAGCTTCAGTGGGATCTCTGTTCTGACAAGAGGCGATAGCACAGGAAGCAGCAAAAGCACTGGCAGGCTATCCAAAACAGGTACCACTGGAAAATCCAAGTCTAGGGATAGCTAGGTAGCCTGCAAAAAGCACCCCCTGCCCACCCACCATTGTTACAGTTTTTGGATAGTGTTTCTTTGGCTCAGAGTTATAATCACTTAAGTGTTAGACACACCTTTGGTAGCATTTTGAATAGATCAGAAAGGACTGTGGCTATTCCTGATCCTACCAATGTTTTGAACTGTTTATAAATAAAACATCTTTTAATGGATTGCATGCCTAATTGGTGGCTGTTGATCTTCTGCATTTGGACCACTGTTAACCCAGCCAGCTTCATAGGCTAGTAGACCAGGATGAGACGTTGAAATAACTGTAAGTAGTAGAGAGACTGGAAATGCAGGGTTACTCTCATGCTTGTCATTTCAGGGAATTAAAATTTTGTTACAGTAACTAAGGCTATCACATTGCAAGAGGGTTTCAGGTATGTTTTAGAAAGTTGCTTTATTAATTAATATTGAGAGCTTCTCCTAAGTTAGTCTCCTAAAATGATTTTGAGATAGCCACTAAAATCTTAAAATTCTCTAAAGATTCCTTGATCTGAATAGCAATGGGGGGTTGCTTTCAGGAGATGCATACAACAATAAGTTCTATAGTATATTTTAGATACGATTTATGGGGATTTATAGCTCCATACCTCTGAGTAAAGTAAGGCAATTATGCCCTTCCTGTTGTAGCCCCATATGTTTTGTGGTTGATCAGGGATTACTTCGAAATTCAGTACCGTCCTTTGCCTATTGTCAATATGTCTGAAGCCTAAGTAGGCAGTATTGGAGAAGATGAATCTATGGTCTAACTCAATAAAAGCAAATCCTTGTTTCTTATGTTCATTTTTAGGCTGTATCAGCTTCAACGGAACTCCAAATTTCTTTTGGAGCTTTATCAAGTTTGCTAAGTAAAATTGTTTTTGTTATTAGGCATGATTTTTAAGGGTTAATTTTGCTGGCAAAAGTGTGCATTATGAAATTTTCAGTCATATTAACACAAGCAAGTGAACATTTTTAAGGATACCAAAAGTGGTGGTGATCCAGATGAGAGCTAGAACCTGACCTTTTCTGCTTAGGAAAATGACCTTTTAGGCTCGTTTTGATGGATAAAAAGTTATCAATCATTTTCTTGTAATGGTATAAAATCAGGGATGTCCAAGCTTGGCAACTTTAAGACTCGTGGAGTTCAACTCCATAATTCCCCAGGCTGACTGGCAAATTCTGGGAGTTGAAATCCATAAGTCTTAAAGTTGCCAAGGTTGGACACCTCTGGTTTATAACATTATTTAATTTATGAAATGGTGGACCTTCTCAACATTGTGTCCTGATTACCGATAGTTTTATACTTCTTTATTGGACCTTTGTAAGACTGCCTAGCTTTTCGGGCTCATGCTTGGCCTTAATTATTGACAAAAAAATGATTAAGAATGGTCTAATTAATCCTGAATTTGGACATAATGAGGTGTTGTAAGCGTTAAATCTGTATCCTTTCTTTTTGACATGTACTGATATAGTCAACTTTTCAAAATCTGTTTCAAAGTATTTAAATCACCTCCAGGCTGCACAACACAGCTGAAATAGGGAGACTATTTGTGGTGATTTAAAGGAAGAAGTATATTAAGGATATAGAACAAAGAAAAAAAAAAGGAAATGTGTGAATTTGTAACTTTTAGAATTCTGCTTCATTTTACAACCCAATAGGTCCAATTTGGCATTTTTTCATAATGATTGAAAACAAGAAGGAAAAAAAACCACTGGTAAAATACAGCTCAACAGCTTTGCAGCAATTTTGGGCTCTTGGCAGAAAATCTTCTCTTCTTCTCTTCTGAATTATGAACATCCCCCTCCATTGCCTTGGGAGAAGGCAGGAAGAATACTAGCTGGACTTCACTTACGGCTAACATTCAAAGTGTTTAAGAAGTTTCTGGGAGCAAATACTGTACTCTAAATTTGTTCCTGAAGGAATTTGTAGCAGGATTCTTCTAGATCCTTATTCTTAAAATAGGGTTCTCTTTTTTTGTGTGGGCCCAAGTGATACGATAAGGTTATCTTGTGAACATATACATTTGATATTAATGAAGAAGAGCTTTGACAGTGGAGGGTTTTTAAAAAGTATATAAAGAAAATTGTGCTATAATGTGAGTACAACCAGTATAGCAAACTAATCTTTTTCATTTTGATTTGAAGCCCTTTATTATGTTTAATCTTTAAGTTATAAGACTTGCTTTTTATTGATTTGAATATCAATTAAAAAAATAGAAATAAGGTATTTTATTTGTTATGCCTTTGTAAAAGGCAATCCAAATATATTTCTCAGTAAATAAAAAAAAACTTGCTGTTTCGTCAGAGAATCACAATTTTAAGTTTTCTACAAACATTTAAAATTTAAGTCCATTTTGGAATAAACTTGTGCATATTCTTAATGTATCAGTAAGATTTAAATCCATGGCTGGAATCATTAAGATTAGTTTGATGTTGACATAAAACTAGCAAGTTAAAATTCTGTAGACCCAACTTTTCATCAGCTTTGTATGTACGGGGCTTTGTAGATATGGGTCCTTTGAATACTACTTTACACTTCAGTTGCCTCCAACATCTCAACCTGATACTTCATTGAATAGATATTTGTTGTAATTATTGATAATAATAAGATTGTTGCCATCCTGCTTTATTGCCATTTGCATGGCTCCAAGGCAAAGTTCAGGCAGTCATTAATTCTCCCTCATTGTGTGGCATTTGGAGTAGATGGGAATCTAACCTGGAGAAGTTGCAGTGGGATTTGGGGAAATAGGCTGTTGTAGTTCAGCTGGGAGTTACATGGATAACTTTAGATAGCAACCTGCCTATTTAAATGTGAATGCTGTTACTCTGTCTTTAGGTAAAATCCATTTCTCATTACTCCTTTCCTAGGTTCAGAGTCTTCTAGTAGTGTAGGGTCATCCACGGGTTCTCTTTCTCACACCCAGCAACCTCTTCCAGTCACAGCTCTCAGCCAGCCTTCTCATGGCACATCTGCCGTCTATCCAACTATCAGCACTAGTAGCTCTCTTTCCTTTGATGGTGGCATAAGTGGGCAAGTGGCGTCTTCTAGCGGTAGCTTCTTTTTGCTTCCCTTGGAAGCGGCAGGCATACCACCTGGAAGTATTCTGATCAACCCCCAAACAGGTTGGTATCCAGTTGTGGGTGTCAGTTTGTCTGTCTTTCTCTCTCCCTTTTGTGTCTCTGTCTCGAATAACTGACTTGACAACGATGTTTTAGAAATGTGTCGTGTTTCCGTGAACCGTTTGCCCTTCCCTCTGCTTCCCAATATTCTTTTCTCTTTTTCTTTTGGAAGATGTATGCATTTTAATCCTCCCCGGAGTAGATATGCAGTGATGTTTTGAAAAAAATAAAATAAAATAAAATGATAAACTCTGTTTTCAGTGGAATTTTTTGTTTTAATTTCTTTTGCATCCCGTGTTTAAAATTGCACACTAGTAGAATTGCGAAGTATTATATTTGGGTTTCTTTTCTTTTCTCTTTTCTTTTTTTTTCCTTCTTGCACTTTTTTCTTCCTTTTTTCTTCTTGCACTTTTTTCTTCTTGTCTACATTATGCTGCAGATTCATTTGCTAAAAGGAGCAATGTGTGAATAAGACAGCTTATAATATAATTGTGCTGCAAATAAATAAATAAGCAAGCCAGATAAGACTTAGACTGGATATTCTGATAATGTATTATCTGTAATATAATAAAATACTAGCTAATTTATATTCAGCTAGCAGGTTGCCTTTTGCTGTATTATTGTTGTTATTATTTTACAATTGTCCTGTAGGCCAGCCATTCATTAATCCAGATGGCACTCCAGTTGTGTATAATCCTCCAATGCCTCAACAACCAATTAGAAACCAAGTGCCTGGACCTCCTCAGCCGCCGCCACCTCCCATACCACCTCAGCAACAGCCAGCAACCAATCACATCCTCTCACAGGTGCTAAGATCAAATACAAATGTTCTATCTATACTTGCTTAAACAAATTGTTGCTTATTTTTTATGGTTTACGGTTTAAGCATTGGTGAAGGAAGATACATTTTCTTAAAGCCATTGGGCGTTTGATTTGTATATGTTTAGGTTATTGTAAGCTGGCCATCTCACATTGTTGTCATCTTCTCCCACTGATAGCTGAACCAGTGTTTATTGATTGATTGATTATTAATCTGAGCCTTGTGTTAAAACTTATTTGTACAACTGATATTGAAGATCTCTTCTGGGTTTGTTTTTTTTAAAAAAAACTTTTATTTTACATAAAAGAAATAACCCTACTTTCATTTCCTCTTACTCAGTTGTTAACGCTTTATGTTCACTATTGCTCCTTCAGCCTATCCGACCTCTTCAGCCTTCTTCACAGCCTGTTCAGTTCTCCACAGTCACTTATCCACCCCCGCTCCTGCCAGTCTCATCTACCCAGCAATATACTGTGGTATATTATCTTCTACTCATCTTTTCTCTGCATGACAGATTCTCTGCTAGGCTGGAAGAATATATTACGTGTGCATGTGAAATGTAAATATTGACTGGCTGTAATCTCCAAAGGTAATCCCATTATTGGCAGGAGCACAGAGAGAGAGAGAGAGAGAGAGAGACAGAGAGAGTGTTGAGCGGAAAGAATTAGGCTGGTCTACCTACTAGTTTGCCTAAAAGATATTTTTTAAAGAAATAATTGGTTCCCTGATATAAAAAATGTGCTTGCTGATATTACCCTTGTGCAGCCTGTCAGTATTCAGTACACCTTTGAATTTGTTTCGTATAAATACCCTTCTTTCTTTTCCCTTCTATATCTTTCTCTTCTAAGGTATCTCATTTTCCATGACAGTGAAAGCTTTCTGTCAGGGCTTTAATGTTTGATGAGTGCCAGAAATTGTTTTTTTGAGTTTTGCAGCCTAGCTACATTTCTCAGATTTATAGACATCTAATCCATGTCTCAAGGTAGGTCCTCCATACATCAATATCCTTGGTTGCCATTTTTGCTGTTTGCTTGATATTTTAACGGAAGCTAGGCAGGCAAATACAGCTTTTCATTTAAATTGATATTAATGGCGCTTTAGACAAATTCCTAGTGATAAAGCTATTAGTGTCTACTATTCAAGACAAGTGTTAGGTTAGCATTACAGGGCTATGGTTTTCCATACCAGTCACTGGGAAATAGAGCAGGAAAGAGTTCTAAACTCTGTCACATGCTAATGGTTGTCCAATAAGACACTGGTTGACCTTTGGGGCAAACAATTCTGTACTGCCATCTTAAGTCTTTGTTTAGATGCAGTATGACTATTTTTAGATTCTTAGCTCTGTAATTCTCTCCTGTGTTCAATAGCAGGGTTGTGTGTTTACTTCCAAGATAGTTTTCGGTAATATAGCTTAATAGTTCTCCATAATTAAACCCTGTGATTCCTTGCTTTGCCTTGGTGTTAAACAACTTCTGCATTCTATATCTAAAGAATGCCTTTGGTTACTCTTTTACTTATTTCAGCAAGACAACCTAGGATCCCAACTTAGCCATATGAGTCTCTCCCGACAGCCATCTGGAGAAGCTGCCGATCCTCATGCCAACATGTTCCAGTCTACAGTAGTCCTCCCACCGCCACAGCAATCTGGCTTTATCATAGCAACGGCCCCACCGGCACCGCCCCCACCGCCGCCACCCCCACCACCGCCACCTGGCCAACCTACTCCTAACTACAGTGGATCCAGCCACCCTGTTAACCAGCAAGTTCTTCAGCAACAGGGATATATGCAGCAACCAATGCCACAGGTAGCAAGATATTTCTACCACGTGTTGTAGAACTCGGTGAAGCTGGTGTTCCTGCAGTTTGGTTTACTCATAGCTAGCCCATAATAGGGTTTGGGTTTTTTGTTTTGTTTTTTCGTTTACTGCAACACTCCGTTTACAGTGATTTTAAAAAATGCATGAAATAAAGGATAACTGGATGCAATTGAAATCAAAACCAAATTAAAACCTGTTACGTTCCCCCCCCCCCATATTACTTAGTATTAAGTAAGTAATTCTTAGGAAGCATATCTGTAGCCTGAAAGGAGAAGACTCTGTCTGGCAATGTGGGCATCTTCAGAAGAACATATCCTACTGCTCTGAGTAGCTAATCAGGTTTATAATGTGAGAGGCAGCCTGGCAGAAAATCAGGCCTAAGCCCTTTAGAGTTCTAAGGTCAGGACAGGCATCATAACCTGTGCTCAGTAGTAAATAGTAGCCAGGGTATGTATTTTAGTACCAACATCATATGATTCCTGTACCTTGCACTGTTTGCATGGGCTGCCTTATTGTATACAAATCTATAGAAACCGTCACGGAGTAAGTTATTGTAGACAGGCTCTATGACAGTGTTTCTCAACCTTGACAATTTTAAGGCATGTGGTCTTCAACTCCCAGAATTCCACAGCCAGCAACTCTGGGAGTTGAAGTCCACATGCCTTAAAATTGTCAAGGTTGAGAAACACTGCTCTATGACTTTGTTGTCAATATGCATTGCTTATTCATTTAATTATAGAAATTTAAAACTAACAAATTAGAACTTGACACCCATTGAGCTGTACTCAACAATTCTACTCTTAAAAGAACTATATGCTTGTGACAATAATTAAATAATGATTTCATGGCGGATCCACTGTCAGTTTTATGTATTTGCAGTATTTTTTTTTCCTGAGAAAGAAGTAGCTTGTTATTAGAACTTATGAGATTTATTTAAGAATTTTCTATGTGGCTGATAATATTTTTTAATATCTCACTGACAAATTGTGATGCTTTATTATTTTCTACTATAATGCAGATGAAGCCAATTTTTAACATTTTGGGGAAGTGGCTTTTTTTTTAGCATTTAAAGAATATCCTTCCAATACCTTTTGCTAAGCTTGGGTTTAATTCTTTTCCAAGGTGTTTGTGGTTCTTTTGATCTGCCTACATTCTAATTTAGAAACGTATGCATGGGTCTCTTATACATTAAACCCAACACTTCTTCTTCTTTTTTTTTTTTTCAGATGCCAGCCTGTTACTGTGCTCCAGGCCAGTATCCACACTCCAGTCAACAATATCGGCCAGTTACTTCAGTTCATTACAACACACAGCAAAACCAGCCACTGCCACAGCCTGCTCAACAGACAGGTTTGTTGTGCTTTCTCCCTTTACTTCTTTGTGCCTTTGATTGTTTCAGGTGACTAGGCGAGGCTGGAAGAAGTAGTGTGAAACATTTTATACAGGAAAAAAAAAACCCCATATTTGTGTTTGAATTGACCGAAATTCTTCCTACTGGTAGGAATGCATATTTTAAATTGGCTGCGTTCAGTAAATCCTAAGAGGCAGAATCCGAAAGGATAATTATTTGTTTAGAAAATCAAACCAAAAAAAAAAATCAGAATATCCTTTGATCACCCTTATTGGTAAATAATTTCCAGCAAAAGGCCAGAGTGAAATAAATATTTTTCTTATCAAAGAACTAACACTATAATTTAGCATTTGTTCTCTTCCATCAGTTTTATAAACAAATTTTACCTGATCTTGAATGAATGAGATATATCTTACATTCTTCATGGTGTGATTTTTGGCGGGATTTTTTAATTGTTTGTTGGGAGGTTGGTGGCTGGATTTTGTCTCCTATATAAATCATACAAAGCTAAAAATTTTGCTTCTTGCCTCTCCTGTATATTTTCCTGCTTTTATTTGAACCGTTAATGCTGTTATGGATTGACTTTTATAGATAAGAAGGTTTGTATGCCAGATGATTTAGTTTTTGTATGCCTGAAGTATAAGAACAACTTATACTGACGAAATGTGATCCACTGGAGAAGGAAATGGCAAACCACTCCAGTATCTTTGCCATGAAAACCCCATGGACAGTACTAAAAGGAAAAAAGATATGACGCTGGAAGATGAGCCCCTCAGGTCGGAAGGTGTCCAATATGCTACTGGGGAAGAGCAGAGGGCTAGTACCAGTAGCGCCAGAAAGAATGAAGCGACTGGGCCAAAGCCGAAAGGACGCTCAGCTGTGGATATATCTGGTGGTGAAAGGAAAGTCCGATGCTGTAAAGATTTTTTATCCATAGGAACCTGGAATGTAAGATCCATGAATCAAGGCAAGCTAGACGTAGTCAAAAAAGAGATGACAAGACTGAACATCGACATCTTAGGAATCAGCGAACTAAAATGGACAGGAATGGTTGAATTTAACTCAGATGACCATCAGGTATACTACTGTGGGCAAGAATCCCTCAGAAGAAATGGAGTAGCCTTCATAGTCAAGAAAAGAATAGGAAAAGCAATACTGGGATACAATCCCCAAAATGACAGAATGATCTCAATTCGAATCCAAGGCAAACCATTCAATATCACAGTAGTCCAAATCTATGCCCCAACCACTGGTGCTGAAGAGGATGAAATTGACCGGTTCTATGAAGCCCTACAGCACCTTATAGAATTAACACCAAAAAATGATGTCCTTATCATCATGGGGGATTGGAATGCTAAGGTAGGAAGCCAAAAGATAACCGGAATAACAGGCAAGTTTGGCCTTGGAGTACAAAATGAAGCAGGGCACAGGCTGATAGAATTTTGTAAAGAGAATACGATGGTCATAACAAACACTCTTTTCCAACAACCCAAGAGACGGCTCTACACATGGACATCACCAGACGGTCAACATAGAAATCCGATTGACTATGGGCTCTGCAGCCAAAGATGGAGAAGCTCTATACAGTCAGTAAAAACAAGACCAGGAGCTGACTGTGGCTCAGATCATGAGCTTCTCGTTGCAAAATTTAGGCTTAAATTGAAAAAAGTAGGAAAAGCACTAGGCCACTCAGGTATGAACTAAATCATATTCCTGATGAATATACAGTAGAGGTGACAAATAGATTTAAGGAATTAGATCTGATAGACAGAGTGCCTGAAGAACTATGGATGGAAGTTCGCAACATTGTACAAGAGGTAGCAACTAAAACCATCCCAAAGAAAAAGAAATGCAAGAAAGCAAAATGGCTGTCTGAGGAAGCTTTGCAAATAGCTGAGGAAAGAAGGGAAGCGAAAGGCAAAGGAGAAAGAGAAAGATACACCCAATTGAATGCAGAATTCCAGAGAGTAGCTAGAAGAGATAAGAATGCCTTCTTAAATGACCAGTGCAAAGAAATAGAAGAAAACAACAGAATAGGGAGGACCAGAGATCTCTTCAAGAAAATTGGAGATATGAAGGGAACGTTTCATGCAAAGATGGGCATGATAAAGGACCAAAATGGCAGGGACCTAACAGAGGCAGAAGAGATTAAGAAGAGATGGCAAAACTACACAGAAGAACTATACAAGAATGAGCTTAACATCCCAGATAACCACAATGAGATGGTCACTGACCTCGAACCAGACATCCTAGAATGTGAAGTGAAATGGGCCTTAGAAAATCTGAGCAACAACAAAGCTAGTGGAGGTGACAGTATTCCAGCTGAGCTATTCAAAATCTTAAAAGACGATGCAGTAAAAGTGCTACACTCAATTTGCCAGCAAATTTGGAAAACTCAACAGTGGCCACAGGATTGGAAAAGGTCAGTTTACATTCCAATTCCAAAGAAAGGCAATGCCAAAGAATGTTCAAACTATCGCACCATTGCACTCATTTCACATGCTAGTAAAGTTATGCTTAAAATCCTACAAGCTAGACTCCAGCAGTATGTGGATCGAGAAATACCAGAAGTACAGGCAGGATTTCGAAGAGGCAGAGGAACTAGAGATCAAATTGCCAACATACGCTGGATCATGGAGAAAGCTAGGGAGTTCCAGAAAAACATCTACTTCTGCTTCATTGACTATGCAAAAGCCTTTGATTGTGTGGATCACAACAAATTGTGGCATGTCCTTAAAGAGATGGGAGTACCGGACCATCTCATTTGTCTCTTGAGAAACCTATATGTGGGTCAAGAAGCAACAGTGAGAACCGAACACGGAACCACTGATTGGTTCAAAATTGAAAAAGGAGTCCGGCAAGGCTGTATACTGTCACCCTGCCTATTTAACTTATATGCAGAGCACATCATGAGAAAGGCAGGGCTAGATGAATCAAACGTTGGAATTAAGATTGCCGGGAGAAATATCAACAACCTAAGATATGCAGATGATACCACTCTAATGGCAGAAAGTGAAGAGGAACTAAAGAGCCTCTTGATGCGGGTGAAGAAGGAGAGTGCAAAAGTTGGCTTGAAACTCAACATTAAGAAAACCAAATCATGGCATCCGGCCCTCTCAATTCCTGGCAAATAGATGGGGAAGAAATGGAGGTAGTGACAGATTTTATTTTTCTGGGCTCCAAGATCACCTCAGATGGGGACTGCAGCCAAGAAATTAAAAGACGCTTGCTCCTGGGGAGGAAAGCTATGGCAAATCTAGGCAGCATTCTAAAAAGCAGAGACATCACCCTGCCAACAAAAGTGCGTATAGTCCAGGCCATGGTTTTCCCAGTTGCAATGTATGGCTGTGAAGTTGGACCATAAGAAAGGCTGAGCGCAAAAGAATTGAGGCCTTTGAACTATGGTGCTGGAGAAGACTCCTGCGAGTCCCTTGGACTGCAAGGCGTTCAAACCGGTCAGTCCTAGAAGAGATCAACCCCGACTGCTCTTTAGAAGGCCAGATCCTGAAGTTGAAACTCAAGTACTTTGGCCACCTAATGAGAAGGAAGGATTCACTGGAGAAGAGCCTAATGCTGGGAAAGATTGAGGGCAATAGAAGAAGGGGACGACAGAGAATGAGATGGCTGGATGGAGTCACTGAAGCAGTAGGTGTGAATTTAAATGGACTCCAGAAGATGGTAGAGGACAGGAAGACCTGGAGGAACATTGTCCATGGGGTCGCGATGGGTCGGACACGACTTCGCAATTAACAACAACATATATAATAAATTGGGGAAAAAATCTGAGTTAAAATCCACATGAAACTTGTGCTTTCTGGTATAACATTTCTGAAACAAAATGTTTTGCCTTGCCTCAGAAACTAAGCTTTAAAGAGGTTGGGCAACTGATACCCTCCAGTTTGACCTGCAGCTTCTGTTCTTCCGTTATTATTGTCTTGGATGATACCAGTTGCAGTCCAGAACATCTGGCATCAGTTTGCCTTTCCTTCTTTTATAAATATTCTTCTGAAGACATTATTAATTCTTCCTATGTTTTTCCTAGACTGATAAATTAGAATATATACTTTAGATGCTTTTGTTTAACGATAATGGGTTAAAGTATAAAACTATTGTCCAAAAAGAAATGGTTGCCTTGATTTATCTCTTCAGAGGTGATCAGGTCTTGTACCAACATGGACATTTTTTTTTTCATTATAGTTAACTAGCAGGATGACCATTGGAAAACATAAAATTGGTTCTTTTATATAACTTCACACTAAAATTGAAGAAGGAGCCTTTGCTCTTTGCTGAGTCTGTTAAATCATTGCAGCAATTATCTGGACTTGAGACCTGGAAAGTACTGTATAAATTTCAAAAAAATGAACTTTATTAACTTTGCTTTCTCAGCAGAAATGAATCTGAAATAATTTGGCTTGTGTGTTTTAAAAGAAAACCCTTTATAGAGCATTTCAGTGGTGATAAGAGGTTTTAATACATTTATGAAATTATAAAATTAAAACTAAAGTAAAATCGTGCCTTTGAAATCTGACATATATTTTTCAGTAGTAACCCTGACACTAATATCAAGGGAGCTAATTCAGTTGCAGTTTTTGGAGTTATTAATTAACAATGAATGACATAAATTATTTGATTGTCTACATTGTTTGCTTTTGTTTGGTATTGTTGCAGAATTTATCTTCGTTAATGTTTAGAGTGTTTAGCACTTTTTGTGGTGTGACAGTGTCTTGCAGTTTCAGGTGGTTTTGTTTGTTTAATTTGAACAAATCAGATTTGATCTAGACTCGGATCCATAGTTTGTATTCTAATTTTTATTTCTTTCTATAGATACTTCTCCCTTTCCCCATTAATCATGAAGTATTTGTAGCTAACGAGAATGTATACATTATACAGATATTAAAATTCCTGTGTGGTTTCTGATACATCTTTTCATGCAGCCCTGGATATTGCTTTTGATGAGACACAAATATATAGTGGGTTATCGGACTTAAATATTTACCACTTGATTCAATATTCTATATTTTCTGTTACATGAATCATGCAGATATTACTAATCTGTGCTTGCTATGGAGAAGTGTTTTAACAAAAAGTCGGGGTGAGGTTGTTTTCAAGAAGCAAATGCTGAAATAACGACAAAATTCGGTGAAAAGTTCATCCTTGTATCCTGTGCCTTAAGCACAAATCAGGAACCTTTGGGAATTGTATTTATTTTATTATTTATTTATATTTCATAGTCACCATTTCCCTAAGACGGGTGCTCAGTGTTCTCAATTTCCATTTATCTCAATTATGAATTCAGAGGATTCATAGTTAAGATAGGTGGAAACTGAGCAAAGGAGATCTGGTTTGAATTGGATTAAGCATTAGATTTCAGGGCAGTGGGAAGGGCAATGCTGAGTATAAAATATGCAGAACCCGTTGGAGAAGATGCTGGTTGAAATATGTGGGCCTGTTGAAAAAAAATTAAAAAATCACATTTGAACTGTTGGTATTGAACATTTGCTATAAGAAGGATAAACAAGACTTACATCACAAGATTGTGAAAAATGCATTATAATCAGTCCAGTCAGTGATAAAAACACTTGTATTCCGAGCACAATTCTGTGTGTGTCTCTGCAACAAACAGCCCTTGTAGAATAGATTGGTTTTATCGTGAGCTGTTGGATTCGGGGCCGTAACACTGTCTGAGAGGGTTACATATCTCACAGTGAACCGGTCTCTTTTTCAGCTGCTTTCTGGCTTCCTTTGTAAAGGGGTTGCAGGTGCATCTGTCTTCAATTGTGACTTTCTTATCAAGGATTGTGTTTTTTCCTCTTTAAAAAAAATAGGCTGATCTTCATCCTTCGCCTCAGATACTCCGAGAAAGTATCAGGAAAGTAATGCCCAGGGCAGGAATATTTTAGACAAGTGTTTGTCTTTATGTGGTCTGTTTTATTTGTCCTGCGTTCTTTTGTTTTTTTAGAATCCTGCCATGATTGAGATTTTAATGTTTTAACGGAGGCTGTGCCTCTTTCTAGCTGATATATGTATAATATGTGGGTCTGGATAGTGGGAGCCGTTTCAATACTTAAGGACACTCAGGATCTAGAACTGCTGTTCATTTTTTGTAATCTCCGAGCATCAGTTTTTAACCATTCTTTAATAATCTGGCTGCAAAATATAACCATCTGTCTCCGCAGATGCTCTTTCTCTTTCTTTTCCTGCTGAATGCTGCGTTTCTTGGTACGCTGAGGAGGAAGAGTGCAGCTAAAAATAGCAAGGTGCTTTGGAACCCAGGGCGAAATATGTTAGCAGTCAATTTATATTGTCTTAGTCCTTCTCTCAGCATGGAAAATTGATTTTTACCGGTGCAAAAGTGCCAGGAGACTCAGAATAACTTTCACAGCTACACTGCAGTCCCTGAGAAACAGAAATGTTGAAATAGCAGAGCTTCTGCAACTTTAGTGTATGCATCCATTACATGTTAATGTGCACTTGGTGCCCAAGAACAATTTGTTTTATTTTGCATAGTCTGTTGGATTGCCAAATACTTTTCCAGCATGTAGTTTATTTAAAAAGAGGGACAAGAAGAATCCTGATTTTAGGAAGTGGATGACCTTTACTAATTACAAAAATCTTATGCTAGATCAGACGGGCTTTAGTAACTGGAATAGGAGACCAGCAGGAAGAGCCACAGTGTGCAGGCTACACTGGGAAATGAAAATGTTGTTTGTAAAATAAGATACAACACGGATGATGATGTTATCTATTCAGTTGTGTCCGACTCTTGGCGTGGCGTTTGGCTTTTTAAACTTATTTATGTTTTTAGCATATTTATCTTTCATGATTGTAAGCCACCCAGAGTTACTTGTGATAGGATGGGCAGGCAATAAATGTTATAAAAAACAAATAAGCAAATTCTGTGGGATTGAGCATTTACAAAATTAATTGATCTCCATTTGTTTATAGCAAATATTCTTCTCACATAAAAAGTGTCCTTTTATTCATAGAAACATGGAAGGAAGGAAGGAAGGTGTGAGAAGAAGAGATAATTTAATAGGAGAGGAATTAGTAATTATAAAAAAGGCTAAAAGGAACTATAAAAAAAAGTCAGTCCCTTATTCAGGAACCAAAGGTTGCTGATTAAAAAACTTCAAAGCATTATTCTTGTGTTGAACATTTCTAGTGATGAGAGTGAAAACTAAGACACCAGCTCTGCTCTGTTCCATTAACATCTTAATTCAGTGGTTCTCAACGTTTGTGTGACGGCGACCCCTGTCACACAAACATCATGCGCGGTGCGGCGCCCCCATGCGTCATGCGCATGCGCGACACCCCATGTGCAGTGTGCATGTGCGGCGCCCCCCGGAGGGGAGAAAATGGCGGATCGCCGCCTTTGGCGACCCCCGAAAAATGGTCGATCGACCCCAACTGGGGTCGCGACCCATAGGTTGAGAACCGCTGTCTTAATTCCTTTTGGCAAAATGAAAGTAAATGTTGGTGGTAAGATTTTTTTTTAAAAAAAATTGGGAAACATTCCCCGTTCAACAGCTCTTAACCTAATGACAAATTGACCTTATTCTCCCTCTTCTTTGGTTAATTAGAATGTCTGAGCAAGGCTTTTGCACCCTTTCTACAATTAGGATTGTAATAAACTTTGTTTGACTGCCAAAAATTAGAACTGTAATAAACTTTGATTGACTGCCAAAAAATTCAGAGAAGGCTGTCTATTGGGAAGGAATCGTCTTTCCCTTCACAAGAGAGTCTTGTGGCTTCCAATCTATACTCATCTTAATCTTCATAATTAGTTATGTTTTGTTCTTTTACATGAACTGTAAGAGGTTGGTTGATTGTCCGACAAGTGACCTGTGAATAATTTTCGAGTTGTGTGGAAAAAGTGAAGCCTTTTTTCTAAAACCTGTTCCACTGAATAACAAAACAATGGCGTTCCATCTTTTTTTCTTTCACTTGGCTGAAGAACTCATTCTCAATATGAAACAGGTGTCTAAGTTTGATCATCTTCTCAGTCTTCCAAAGTTGTTGTGTGTCGACCTTGGCAATTTTCTGATGTGTGGACATCAACTCCCAGCATTCCCCAGCCAACTAAGCTATCTGAAAGCTACCAAGATCAAGAAACACTGGTTAAAACAATTCAGAAAATCAAATCTGTTCAATTCTGCCTGAAGAAATGTGATGTGTTTATATAATGTGATGGCTGCCTTTTAAATAACATCAATGAGAATTTGGAGATTTTCAGATTTGCTGAAGAGGCTTCCCACTACCATTCTGATAAACAATTAAAAGAAAGCCTAAGCTGTAAAATATATTCATAATCTTGGTATGTTTAGGGCTATTTTGAGTCTTGGAAAAGTGATTTATCTGTAGCCAGACAAGCACATAAATGTACATATGCAAAGCACTGTTATATTGTGCCATGAATCAGAACTAACAAATTATGGTTTAATGAAGCTAAAGTTGATAGATATTTCTACTTATCTGGCATAATTAGAACATAAAGTTGCATGTTGACCGCTATTCAACAAATAAGTTTAGTTTTGATCCAGTATAAAATACAAATGTATTTAGCTGAAAAATGTTGTGGTTATTATTTGTTGGAAGTCTTGACAGTCCTTTACACTCTGGTTTGACCACCTGCTTTGTGTTAATGGCTTAGCATTTGCTGCCACAATCTGTCTTCCAGAGATCTTCACATGGTATCCTTCCCCTATGTGAGATAGGACAGTCACAATCAGTGCTGCCTTTCTGGCAATTAAGAGATATACATTTCTAAAAAGGAAATAAGCTTTATAATTTGATCTCATGCCCGTGTACTTTATAGAGATATAATTAGAGAGTGCAGGCCATCTTCACTAATCTCACCTGAGAGAAGCAAAAAGGAAACTTTATTTTAAAATATAGTAGCACTTTAGCACTTAGACTTATATACCTCTTCACAGTGCTTTACAGCCCTCTTTAAGCAGTTTACAGAGTCAGCCTATTACCCCCAACAATCTGGGTCCTCATTTTACTGACCTTGGAAGGATGGAAGGCTGATTCAACCTTGAGCCAGTGAGAATCAAACTGACAGCTGGCAGTCAGCAGAAGTAGCCTGCAGTACCGCATTCTAACCACTACGTTATCACAGTAAAATATATATAGTTAAAAACTTCAAATATTAAGATGCAAGGTAGGTAGGTAGGTAGGTAGGTAGGTAGGTAGGTAGGTAGGTAGGTAGATAGATAGATAGAGTAAGGTAAGATAAGGTAAGGTAAGGTAAGGTAGAGTTACCTTGAACAGGGTCACCAATCTAACAGAAAATCCACAAGACAGTACAAATCAATAGACTAAAAAATGAAAATATAGGAAGAGATCTTCCAGGCAAACTCCAAGATGGTACTAGTTATCTTATATGGGGAAAATGAACTTTAATAAAAATGGAGTTGAATTCAATTTATTTCTTCAGAAAACAGGATTCTACAGATAAACCTTAACACAATGTTCCTAGCTAAAAAAAATTATCTGTTTTCTAGAGATCACTGTGGCTATGTGATATATAACATCTCTCTATCATGAAATTGTTGGTTATATGTCTACATCAAGCTGGTAGGCAGATTAGCTGGTTATGAATGTAAGCTTGTAGACAGTCATTCACAGCAAACCACAGCTAAGATTTTGGTCATTATCACACAAATATTACTGAGTCATAAATTATCTCTGCTGTTTTATGTGGCATTTTTTAAAGTATCCCATAGAAAAGTGGTGTAGTCATTATATTTAAAGAATACTTGGGTATGTAATTTTTTTTCATATTACCCTGTCATATTACTCTATCCTTGTCTTAAATATTTGTATACTTGCAGGTTACCAAGTTATGCCTAACCAGCAGCAAAACTACCAGGGTTTAGTTGGTGTCCAGCAGTCACAAAACCAAAATCTAGTTGGAGGCCAACCCAACAACATTGGAAATCAGATTCAAGGAGTACTTGTTCCATATCCTCCCATGCCATCTTATCAAGTAAGCCGTGTGATAGTGTTAAAATATAAGTAGCTTTGCCGAATACAGTTCTCAGAACGTTTTTGTCCTTTCTTCCAGTTCTGATTTGAAAGAGATTATTTTATCCAGATGAACATTCACTTTTGTGGCTATCCATGTACAATTTGTAGTGGGTCAGCATAAATGCTAGATTCTTACATACTTTTTTGGATACTAGGCTTCAGTACTTTTTGGTTGCCTTGTATGCTTCTTTTGTATGAACAATCTGCCATTGTTTATGTGTCTGCTCACTATTAGTGATCCTGCAATACTCTAATTCTTAGGTCTCCATGGCTCCAGTTTCCCAAGGACTGTCCCAACAAACATATCAGCAGCCAGTGGTTATTCCCAGTCAGTCAAACCAAGGACTCCCCACATCAGGAATGCCCGTTTATTATAGTGTCATTCCATCTGGACAGCAGAATAATTTAAGGTGAGTATAATTTAAGATTTTAGATTAGATTTTAGTGGGAGGTTGCTATTTATTAAAAGATTATTAAAAGATTGTGGTCAAAGAAGCCACAATGAAAAACAGTATCAATAACTTACAAACCCATCAAAGTTGAATTTGAATAATGTGGTATGATTTAATCCTATTTTTTTAATGTCTGTGTACGCTAAACCATTGTTTCATGTCAATGTTATTTAAAAGGATATCTTTAAGGAGTATGAAAATGAGCAGAAGTTTTAATTGTGCCTGCTTAGTTTTTAGAAATGACAGAATGGGATGGAGTGGCTTTTTAGTTTTCAGAAACATTTTCTCCCTACCTATATAAATGTTTAATCATAGAGCAATCTCCTTTTTTATGCTTGGAGATTAAATTCCATATTTTACACTAGAGCATCTGATTTGAGTTCTCACGCTTCATGTAATATATTGCTCCATGTCCAGCAATTTGCATTGTGCTTCTTCCTTCCCTTCTGGGATGGGAAACTATGAATCTGTTCTTTCCTCCCCTGTATGAGGCATGCATGGAAGCTGAAACCCAAAGGAATAAAAACATTTTGAGATTTTTGTAGAAATTATCAGCAGAACAAGGGCATTAAGCCTCTTCGATTGCTTGAAATGCATCTATTTTGTTTCAAAAAATTCTTGGACTCCTTCTGGTGATATCACTATCAGCTTCCAATGCATTCCTCAGTAGATGCATGCACTTATTTATTTTTAAAAGTTCACCTTCTCCACAGTATAAAGACCTTGACTTGCTGCTCTGCTTTATACATAATACATAAGGTTCTGCCCTATTTCTCAGTGGATGCCCAAAATAACCTCAAGTAATGTCCTCAGTCTTTCTACTGTTGAGGATAAACGAAGGGGTGAACAGCACTGCCAAGCAAGTGAATGTAATCTTTCCCCCACCAAAAAATGTTTGTGTGCGTGCTACAGAAGGATCACAGAACAGTTAAATCAGCTAATGTCAGGGAATAGGAGTGAGTCACTCCTTACTGTGAGATAGTGCTTCTCTAAAGTCAAAGAAAACTACACTGGGAATTTGTAAAGCTATGTAGAAGGAAAAAAAGTAGAATATGGTGCAAATAATGAGCTAGGGTTTGACAAAAAAATTACTGTGCAGGATATGGGAATCATGCCAGTTTTTTTTTTAAAGCATTAGCTGTTTTTACTTTTTTAACCCATTATATGAATATGTGTGAAGGTGTACTTTGTTCTTAAAATAAACATATTTCTGGAATCTGCAGAAAGTTCCTATTTCTGTTCTATGTGATTGCGACATGGGTATTTTTGTTATTTTTGTTGTTGTTAATTGCAAATCATGTCCGACCCATCGCGACTCCATGGACAACGTTCCTCCAGGTCTTCCTGTCTCTACCATCTTCTGGAGTCCATTTAAGTTCACACCTACTGCTTCAGTGACTCCATCCAGCCATCTCATTCTCTGTCGTCCCCTTCTTCTATTGCCCTCAATCTTTCCCAGCATTAGGCCCTTCTCCAGTGAGTCCTTCCTTCTCATTAGTTGGCCAAAGTATTTGAGTTTCAACTTCAGGATCTGGCCTTCTAAAGAGCAGTCAGGGTTGATCTCTTCTAGGACTGACTGGTTTGAATGCCTTGCAGTCCAAGGGATTCGCAGGAGTCTTCTCCAGCACCATAGTTCAAAGGCCTCAATTCTTTGGCGCTCAGCCTTTCTTATGGTCCAACTTTCACAGCCATACATTGCAACTGGGAAAACCATGGCCTGGACTATACGCACTTTTGTTCTACCATCTTTTTAAAAAATGGTTATTTTCAGGGATTTTTTTTTTCTGATGCAGAATAGTCGATATATCAGCTTTTCAATATTATTTGCCCCCTGCTTCCCAAATTAGGAAAAGGCACCAGATGCTGAGTAGTTTTTATTTTTCATTTTCATAATGTAAATAAATAGGAAACTGCATATTGCAAAGCATCATCTTAATTTCCAGGAATTCTTCTGACCTCTGTGGAACCCACGGGCATACTTAGAAATTTTAAAAGGACTGTGGCAGTGGCATGGTATTAAGAGTTACATTCAACTGCCAGAAAAAAAGACAAGAATGATGAAGGATGGTAGGACGTATCCTTATTAGTTAGTGCATTTAGTGTTCTGATGGATAGCTATAATACTCCACGTTGCAGACATTTTATGAGAATGCTGAAAACATGCTCTCAAGCTCCAGATATGCTTACAAGCCTAAAAGATGGTACATATTCCTACTTAAATATTTAAAGTGCATTGACTTCATTCCTATTTCTTAATATAAATATTTTATATTTATATATGTTCAGTATTTTTTAATAATTGAAACAAATATGGGAAATTTACTTCGGTGGTTTAGTTCAACTATAAAAATACTGATGGATGTATTCTTAATCTCATAGTCTGTAATGACAATTAGAATTCTCTTACAGTGAAACTTTACAGAACAGGATTAGTTGGAGATGGATGGTGAGAAACTAGGCTTTATTATTTATTTATTCATTCATTCATCAAATTATATATATTCCTAATTGTATGCATTTGGTTTGTGCAATAGAGAGTTCTAGTGGTTAAGGTCTAGTGATCAAGGCATCAGGCTAGAAACCAGGAGACTGTGAGTTCTAGTCCTACTTTAGATAAGAAAACTGCCTAAGATGTTAAGCTTGGGCAACAAGCTGACCGGTCAGTTCCTGTCACAACCAATGTATCAACTCTTGTTTAATCAGAAAAAAAGCAGATCCTGAACTTACAGGAAAATACTAGGAAGAAAAAAAATGCTTGGTTTGTATAGCATATAGCAAATATACACCTAGTGATTAAGTGCAGTTTTTTCAATATCTTCGACAAAATTAAATTTTATTATTGACTGTATCTTGTGCCATCATGTGGAAGATTGTAATTTGCACAGCTAGGATGGCAGCTCCATCAAGAAAACATGGGAAGACAGATGTAGAATCTCAGAACATCAGTATTTCAATGTTTTATAAGTATCTCCTACCTACCATAATAGAGTTCTAGTAGTCCTTGTGGTATCTATTTCCTGACCTTGCTGATACTCCGAGGTCCTCTTCCTTTAATGATATGGATGTAAATCTTCCATTAAAAAAGGAAATTCTGAATGTATGAATTTATTTAAAATGAATTTAAATTTCAAATGTCATGATTTATTAAAATATTTTAAGGAGCAGTGTTCTATTGTCCTGTGCAGCTGGATATATGGCAATAGGTGTTGAAAATAAGTTGATATAGCATAGTTTGGAAGGAAAGGAAGGCACACTACAAAAGATCTTCTGGAAAAATATGCAATGCTATCCTACATAACTCTTTGGCTCATCTTGGTTTTTTGGTAGGAGAAGAATAAAGCAGTTTAAAATCATTGTGATCCAAACTTTAACTTTCAGTGGGATTGTTTCTGTATTGGGTTTTTTTTTCAACATTTAGGATTACTTTGATGTTTGTGTACCTTAGTTTAATTATTATTATTATTTAACAAGTCACTATGATACATTTAAATTAACATCAGTCTTTAGAGCCTTGTCACCTTTACAAAAGTTACTCTTTGAATAATGCACAGAAAAGTTAGAAAAAGAAAAATAGCAATTCTGTCTATCTATCTAGTTAACTAGCTGTTAAGTCCAATGTTATATTCATACTAACTTTATTAAGATACATTGTAGAGATAATTTGTTCTTTTTACAACCTGATTAATTCTAAAATAATCAAATACCCATTAATTTAGGAAAGGGAAATAACTTAGAATATATTTTCAGCCTTATTTATTTATTTATTTATGAGACTTATATACCGCTTTAAGTGCAAGCACTCTCTAAGCGGTGTACACCAGTAAGCAATATATATATATATATTTACATTGCCCCCAACAATCTGGGTCCTCATTTTACCTACCTCGAAAGGATGGAAGGCTGAGTCAACCTTGAGCCGGTGAGATTTGAACCACTGACCTGCTGAACAGTCAGCTAAAGTGGCCTGCAGTACTGCACTCTAACTGCACTCTAACTGCTGCGCCACCTTGGCTTCAGTTGAAAGCAAATTAAACTTGTTCATCTGTTTCCTAAGAGACCGAAAAGGTAATTAAGGTAGACAATCTATTATTGACATTTACTATTTTATAAGAAAAGAAAGTCATGAGAAACGATACAACCATTAATTTTAATTTCTGGAGTGCATGATGTCTGTTTTTGCGTAAATCCCAATTAAGCTTGCAATTTTCGTCTATTTAAAGCATTATGGATGAAATGAATGTTGCGATTTAATATGCTTCTATTGTTCTTTTTTTCCCTCTCCCCTCCCCCTTCCAATCTGCTGCAGCTCTTCAGTGGCATATCTTCAACCTCCAGGGTCAGAGCAGATACAGTTTCCTAGAACAACATCACCTTGTAATTCCCAACAGCTCCAAGGACAACAGTGTGCAGGTGTGAAAATAGAACCTAACAAATTAATCCATTCTTCTTCACTTAATTAGATTTTTTTTTTTAAAAAAAAAATCATTTTTGTACCAGTGCATTATGGCAAAGAATTGGAAGAGAGTCATTTTGATGCAGTGATTCAGGTGCTGCATTAAAAACAGGGAAACTGTGAATTTTAGTCCTCCCTTAGGTATGAAAAGAGGCTTGTTGCTTTGTCCCAGTCCAGCTTATCTCACTGGTTCCTGGGGTAAAATTGGTAACATTATGTACATCTGTCAGAGCGTGCACAGCTTATTGTGCTGAGATAATCCAGGAATAAACACAGTAAACAGTGGTTTGTGTTTAAATGGTGGTTTATCTTACACTATCTACAATATCATACACCAGAAATAATATACACACACGTACTAACACAGCAGGATCCAACAAACCACAATTACAGCAGGAAATGGAAAAGAAAGAACACAGTAGCAGAGCCTTCCTTTTATACAAAGGCTCTTAAAGGGACACAGACCCTGCTGAATCATTCCCATCATTACATCATACATCTCACATTATACAAGCTGGTTAGTTGTTAAATTATTACCTTGACAACATCACTTTGAGGCATACAAAATAAAATAAAACACAGGATATAAATAAAACACAGGATATAAATCTAATGGTAAATGAGGAAATGACAGTTTATTGGCTTTAAATACTATACGCATGGACTTGTCTTAAAATTCGCTTAAAACAGTACATGGTACAAAAGTTTCACATCTATTCCTGCATACTTAAAAAAAAGCATTTTGCAAGTGTCAGGGAGTTTGTCAGTATAATTGATGGGGGGACTGTAGACAGATTTTGGGATAAAAAGTTTTTTGGAGAGGGCAAAGAGAAGAGAGCTTGAAAACATTTTTCCAAAGCAAAAGGTGGTGGAATGGCCATCTACTATTATACTGATAGTATCGGGGGAGGGGGGGAAGCAAGAGCAGGTGATTCAATATTAGATGAGCTACAGCCTGAAGGCACTAACTGTGAAGCTAAAGCTTAAATACTTAGGACAATCCAAAAGCAAGAGCTTCAAGATCTCAGAGAGCTCTTTCAATCTAGGTGTGATAATACCATACTTCAACAACAAAGAACAAACCAAACGAAACATCTGAAGATTCAATAAAGACAGATTTCTCCCAAATCCTCCCCAACAATAACAGAATAACAGAGTTGGAAGGGACTTGTCTAGTCCATGGGTCTGCAACCCGCGGCTCCGGAGCCGCATGCGGCTCTTTGAGCCTTCTCCTGTGGCTCCCAGCCTCCTCTGCCATTTGCAGAGACAGAGAGAGGCACTTGCACTTCCTTCTCTCTCTCTGTATGTGTGTATGTGTGTGATGTGTGTCAGCTTGTTGAAGAACAGCGTGGAGCCAGCTTGCCAGGTGAGCAGAAGATTGGAGAGAGGGAGGGGGAGAGAGAAAAAGAGAGAGAGAGAGAGAAAGGGAAAGAGAGAGAAGGAGAGAGGGAGAGGAGAGAGAGAGAGAACTCATGCACAGCACCTATTTCTTTTTAATTAAACTCTTCAATCAAGCCCCCCCCCTCCGGCGTGCACACATGTGCACGTGAGTTTTGTGGTTCTCAGTGTTTTCTGTGGGAAACAGGTCCAAGTGGCTCTTTGAGTGTTTATGGTTGCCGACCCCTGGTCTAGTCCAACCCCCTGTTCAAGCAGGAGACCCTATACCAGTCCAGACAAATGCTGTAGTCATTTGTAGCTGATCTGGTGTGCCTGATTCTAAGTTTAGGAGTTTGAGGTAGTGTTAAATATAGCTGTATGTACGCGTAATTTGCATTGATGTTTATTTAAGTTTCCCAAAGGACTAAAAAAAATAGTACTGTACATGATATTTGTTATATTTACCCCTTTCATTAATTATATTATTGAAATGAAGATCAAATATCTGTGGGATAAAAAGTTAAACATTTCAAAGGAGTATATGTTTTCGGATGACTATATTTAATAATTAGTATATTTTAATTATCCGCTGTAGAAAACTCAAAAAAAATTACCCATCGTTTGGACTTTGTAATAATTGAATTCTTGCGAAATTAACTTGAGCACTTTTTTTAAAGTTGCTGTATGAGAATCCCAAAAACAGATTTTTAAATTAACTTTTAATTTAATTAAATAAGCAGTCTTAAAAACAAAAGGCCTCCATTTGGTAGAAGTGTTTGAATTCCAGCAGTGGTAATTCTTTTGAGCCATCTTTTCAGCTGTTCAGTTTTGTAAACCAATTTTTCAAGAAGTGTGTGTGTGTGTGTGTGTGTGTGTGTGTGTGTGTGTGAGAGAGAGAGAGAGAGAGAGAGAGAGAGAGAGAGAGAGAGAACACCGGGGGGGGGGGAGAAGAATCAGTTAAAAGTTGCCTTGTCTTCCTCCATCTCTGATTAACAAAGTTACGATAAAGTTGAGTCCTACAAGTCCCCCATAACAGAAGGCCCAAAGTATATTTGGCTATATTTAGTGTTATTTGCATTCACAAGAGCTCAAACACTTCTTCCAATTGGGAGGCCTTCTGTTCTTAAGTTTGTTAACTCATAACAGCGTCAAATTTTTAAAAAGTACTCAAATTGGGCAAGAATTCAATTATCATAGACTCTAAGCGATGGGTAAGTTTATTCAACTTTTCTAGAGCAGATAGTTAAAATATACCAATCGTTAAATATAGTCATATGAAAACACATAACCCTTGAAATGTTTGACTTTTTGATCACTCAGATATTTGTTCTTCATTTCAACAATATAATTAATAAAGGGAGGAAGAACATAACAAATATCATGTACTGTACTATTTACATTTAGTAGTCCATTGGGAAATTTAAATAAACATTAACACAAATTATGAATGTGAAAAAAGTAAGCATACCCTTACATTTATCACTATCTCAAATCCCTAAACTTAGAATCAGGTGCACCAGATCAGCTACAAATGACTACAACATTTTTCTGGACTGCTATGGGATCTCCTGCTTGACTGGGGGGGGGGGTTAGACTACATTCCAGAAGACTTCTAAGGTCCTTCCAACTCTGTTTATTCAAGAACTACTTTCACCCTGCTCTCCCATTGCCCCCAACTCTCCTTCAAAGTCCCTCCAATACTCTAAAGCAGTGGTTCTCAACCTTTTTAATGCCACGACCCCCCATCTGGTCGTAAGTCGAGGACTAAACTGGTCGTAAGTTGAGGACTAAACTGGTCGTAAGTCAAGGACTACCCAACCGGTTGTAAGTCAAGGACTTTCCCTGCCTGGGAGTGCCACGCATGCGTGGTGCCGCCCCCTGCGCCAGCCGAGGCGTAGCTGGCAAGCGGTAGAGACGGAGCAGGCCGACCACCGGCTGGGCCACCAGCTGGCCCAGTCCAAGGGAGGTAAGGCACCCGCTGGAAAAGGGGGAAAAAATGGCGGACAGCCTTGCTTGGCGACCCCAGTGAAATGGTCGATCAACTCCAAATGGGGTCGTGACCCATAGGTTGAGAACCACTGCTCTAAAGCAAATTATTCGTCTGCAGGCAAACACAGTTAGACGGAACCACAGGAATTAGAATCAAAAAGCTCTTAGCTGCAAGTCTGACATTGACAGAGCATTGCGCAAGGCCTTGATTGATAACATCAACCTAAAGATAGATTTGCTTAGATTTTTCAGCATGGCAAAGGAGAAATACTAACACCTCTTCTTTCCAATCTTTGTTTTGCAGCAGTAGCACCACCACCCAGTGGAGGAATGGTAATGATGCAGCTCAATATTCCCAATAATCCTCAGCCTCGGCCCCATTCCCCTCCTCAGTGGAAGCAGAATAAATATTATTGCGATCATCAAAGAGGGCAGAAGTCGACAGAGTTTGGTTCATTGGAGAGTTGCCCACAGGTATAACTTATCCTGTGTTTGGAAAACCTAGATATTTTCAGGAAGGGAAACATCCCTTTTACAAGGGTGTTCAAATGTTTGTTATCCAGACTGGATTTTTAGATATTGAAGGAAGGATGAAATTCAAATTCAAATAGGAAATTTGCTCTGGTTTTGGATCCGGGAAGGGTTGAGTTTTCCGTAATTCAAATGCCATCCCGTACCCCAAAATATATTAAGAAAATCGTAGAAGTCTAAAGTCCAGTACTGTAAGAAAATTAACAGAAGGTTACATTGACTGAGATTAGAAGATTATATAATAGAGCAGTGTTTCCCAAACTTGACAATTTTAAGGCATGAGGACTTCAATTCCCAGAATTCCACAGCCAGCGTTGCTGGCTGTGGAATTCTGGGAGTTGAAGTCCACATGCCTTAAAATTGTCAAGTTTGGGAAACACTGTAATAGAGTTCTAGAGTATGGATCCTTCTACATAGTATCCAAAAATGTGTAGAAACAGAGTGTTTTTCTGTTCACGTCACTTATGTTGATGTTACGCCTCTTAACTATAGGAAAGGAGGTTCAGCCTTTCAAGAAATTGCTAAATGTGAGAGTTCAACAGGGTTACACATCACAGAATTATTTGTACTCAGCGAAGATTATTTAAACTAGATAGCTGAGTGAATTAAAGGCATGTTTTTTCCCATGCTCTGACAAAATTGTGTATTTACGCTCTCTCTCATTAAATTAACAGCTACAGCATAGTCCACAAATAGGTAGCCCTGCCACATCTCCAGCCCAGTCACCGGCACCAACTCAGCTCTCAAACATGAAGAACATCCGTCCCACTTTAACACCTCTTCCTCTTGTGCCCCCATTCTCACGACATTTCGTTCCAGGACAAGGTAAGAACTACCATTTCCTAAATACTGAATTAAGCATTATTATGGCTTTTAAAATCTAATTAGGAAGTTGCATTTTGTTTCTTTCAAAAAAAAAAAAAGAAAGAAAGTTTTGCTTTCCCATTGGTATTCTCATTAAACGCTAAGTAAGGACACAGTTTGCTTCAATTTATTTGCTAGCAAGGTGAGATTTATGAATTTTGGATAATAATGTTGTGTCACAGAGATTTTTAATTGTTTTACCACAAGGGTCAAATCGGTGTGTGTGTGTGTAACCTTTGCCTCCACACTTTTGGGGCTCTTCGCATCCTCACTGACCATTGGGCAGACTTCAGTGAGTTATTGTAGTTTTCTTGAAGTCTTTATTGTCAGGCAAAAGTAACCAGACCTACACCTGTAAGGTTTAAGCTTACCACTTTATTATATCCTGCACATTATACAGGAATTTCCCCCGACTAGCAGCCTTTGGCTGAGAACAGATAGATGAGGGTCTATGGAGCTTAAGGGGAATCAGTTCTGGACCGCTTGCAAGTGTGCAAGGACTTGAGCCTCATTCCTTACTTGAGCTCTCTCCCTCTGCCTGGCTCGGTCTTTCCCAACATCATTTGATCAGCTCTTTATTAATATACTCAGCTAACTTTTGATTAACTTTGACTTCCTAAAAGAGAGTTTACAATATTTGGAGCTGGCAATCCTGATTACAAGGTTTTGCATCTCTGTCGCATTCTTTCGGGTCATGTTTTTTTTTTTGCATATGAAGGCACCTTTGTAGCCTACATGTTACGACGTAATTATATATTTTATTTTACTTAGCCCACTGTGATCCCAGACCTTTAAACTCCTTTACTTCATCATGCAGTACTTCACCATGCTGCGATGCAGAGTTGGGTTTTGTTTTTTGTTTTTTTTTTTAAAGATGAAATGTTCCCTAAATAAAAGATTTCTGCAAAATTTTGCTAAAAATAAATTTTTAAGAATACAAAATAGTCTTTAATTTTCCAGTTACCTATTCTTAACATAAAGTAGCATTGGTATTTGAATTTTAAATTATCTTGTTTCTGTGTATTTGTTCAGGAGATGCCAGATATCCTCTACTTGGCCAGCCTTTGCAGTACAATCCTTCTCTGCCACATGGGCACATAGCAGGTCCACAGGTACGAAAAAGGGCTTTCTTTACAGTAGGCTACCTAACAGAATATAACAAAATGTTGTCATTGTTCAATCGCTAAGTCATGTCCGACTCTTTATGATACCATGGACCATAGCATACCAGGCCCCCCAGATCTCCATTGTGTCCCAGAGTTAGCCCAAATTCACGTTCATTGCATCATTGACACTATCTAGCCATCTCATCGTCTGCCGTCCCCTTCTCCTTTTGCCTTCCGTCTTTCCCAACATCAGGGTCTTTTCCCAGGAGTCCTCTCTTCTCCTTTGGTGGTCAAAATATTTGAGCTCCAACTTCAATATTGGTCCTCTCAAGGAACAGTCAGGGTTGATTTCCATTAGGATTGACTGATTTGATCTCCTTGCAGTCTAAGGGACTCTCAAGAGTCTTCTCCAACACCACTAGCATAAAATAGCTGTCAGAAAAGAAAGTTTCAACCAGTAGGTTATTAGCATCTTAAGCCAAGCCAAATGCCAAAATACCTGGAATTTTGGCAGTCGGACAAATCAGCCATCAAAACATACATAGCGATAAACCACATTTAGAAACCATTCAGAAGAGATGATATAAAAAAAGAGAAAGGAAACAAAAAAAGACCAGAACTCCTCCTTTCCAGCCACCAACATTCAGATAAACAGAGATCAACACTAGACAAATGGTCAGGTAGAAAACAATACTCTAATCAGAACCACCAAAGAGGAAACTATTCCGTCATCAAAACTAGCAGGGCAAGTATGTAGTCCTCAACTTACAACAGTTCATTTAGTGACCGTTCAAAGTTACAACAGCACTGAAAAAAGTGACTTATGACCGTTTTTCACATTTACGACTGTTGAAGCATCCCATGGTCACATGATCAAAATTCAGCTGTTTGGCAACTAGCTCATATTTATGACAATTGCAGTGTCCCAGGATCACATGATCGCTTTTTGCGACATCTGACAAGCAGTCAGTGGAGAAGCCAGATTCACTTAACAACCGGGTTACTAACTTAACAACTGCAATGATTCACTTAACAACTGTGGCAATAAAGGTCGTAAAATGGGGCAAAACTCATTTAATAAAGTCTCACTTAACAACAGAAATTTTGGGTTCAATTGTGTTCGTAAGTCAAGGACTATCTGTATATATAAACATGGAGCAAACCCTATAATCACTCACATTGATGATATAACCTAGTTAGCTAATGAAACATGTGCAGGCAAACAACTAAGCTCAGAGATCACCAAGGTCATCATAGATCAGCACTTATTTGTAAATCTAAATATATGTGCCTTAAAAAAAACACCTCTGTCAAATATTAGCTGCTTCCCTGAATCAGAAATTGCTAATTACATTGCAATGAATAAATGATTTGTTATTTATATTCCATCTTTCTGCCAATAGGACTTTGAAGGCAGGTAACAATAAAAGACAAGTCCTTAAAATAGTTAACAAATAAAATATGAAACAGTTAAAAACATCGCACTGTTTTGTGAATTCAAGTTACAATGTGCTAGATCTCTTTCCAAGAAGCTGTAATATATCATTTAAATGGCTCCATTAAGATTGATCACGTGGCAATCTTCATTCTTTGTGGTTGGAAAATATGTATGTGGGAAGTGGAAGAAATATCATTCCTGGTCAATTTCTTATGTACATGTATCTGAATTCATTCTCTCTCTCTCTCCCTCCCTCCCTCCTCTCTCTCTCTCTCTCTCTCCCCCCATCTTGATCAACTTCACTCCTATTTTAGTGTCAACCAGGAAACAGACATGGAAATAGAGGAAGAAAACCAGCTAAAAAGGCTGTTTCAGCTGATCTTGGTGCAGGAGAACCAGGCATGTAACTCATTGTCTAGTATTACTTTGTGATGCAACTATTGCAACTATTGTAGTATATTATACCTCTTTCTTTTTTATGCTGCTCTGTAGGAATAATGGAGATGAATACAGATTATGTTAGTAGTGCTTAACCTGCATGCTGCTGCCAGCCCAAAATGAATTGACATGCATGTTAGGGTGGGTCACCAGGGTAATATTAAGAAATTGAAATTTATTTGGCACAAGCATAATGATCCCCAGATGTGTGATTGATTGAATTTAGTTAATTTGACAATCTATGTTCCCTGAACAGGAGGGGCAGGTTTGACCTTAAGTGAATAGGTATACTTTCTCATACGTTTGAGAGTCATCCCCTTCTCTCACCAGCTTCTATTTCTCACTGTCTATACCAGTGATGGTGAACCTTTTAGAGATCGGGTGCCCAAAAACTGGCCCCACCCCTGCTCCACCCCCTGTCCCGCCCTCACCCTGCCTGCCCGGAGGGCCACTCACCGCCTCCAGGGCCCACCACAGATCGCCCAGGCAGCCCAGCAGCACCATGGCGGCCATGCCCTCTGCCTACACCCCGCAGCATCAACTGTGCGGGATGGGGCGTGAGGGCAGAGTCTTGTCTACGCTGCCTGGCTCCCATGTCCTTGGCTGCGCTGCTCCGTGTAGGCCACATTTGGGGGCGATTCTCCTCCAGAGGGGCTGCTGATGAGGGCGTCATGGGGGGAGGCAAGGGTGGTGCAACGACATGTGTGCCCACAGAGAGGGCTCCGAGTGCCACCTCTGGCATGCGTGCCATAGGTTTGCCACCACTGGTCTATACCTTCCTTTTCATGCTGACTTGCAATGGTCTTTCTTGGGCAATTCTGCTGCATCAGTTGGTGTGCCCAATTGCTTATTATGTACTGTGTGCAACAGTCTGCAACAGAGCATGACTTAAGGTACTTCAAATACATAACCAAGCTTTGAAACCTTCTATAAAATCAAGTATTAATTTAATATAATAAATAGGCCACTGTGTTTTATACCAGCTGGAGTTTCCAAATGGTCTTCAAGGGAATGTCATGTAGATGTCGAACAGAGTGGGAGAGAGAACTTTGCTCTGGGACATTCCATATAAGGCCACCCACAGACTCAACCTCTCATTGTATGATTGACTGGACCTGTCTCTTTGAAAAGCAGTAGAAACATCATAAAACAATGCCTCCCATTCCCAGCCCTCACAGGTGGCCCAGAAGACTGCTGTAATCAACAGTATCAAAAGCTGCCAAGAGGAATAGCAGGAAAAGGATAGTTGCATTCTCACCATCCATGCCTTTCTGTATGTCATTAGGAAGCAAGACCAAGTGGCTCCGTTGCATATCCCAGCTTGACCGACAGGAATTCAGATAAGATAATCCACTTCTTCCAGAGCCCTCTGCAATTGCCACTTTATTGAAGTTACTGAACTGCCAGCTTCTTCACAATTTGCCTCCAAAGAGGAGGTTGAATATTAGGCAGTGGTTGTCCAATATTGTTGGATCCAGGTCAGAATCTTTGAAGAAAGGATGGACCTCTTTCAAGGGAACCGGAATCTCCCTTTTTTTATATAAGTTTTATTAATTTTTTTAAAATTACAATCTTTAGAGCTTAGTAAACAACATGTTGTCTGTATTTACATATTTAACATTAACTTCTTCAATATAAATCTATTCTTCTTCTTCTTATGCCATATCCGTTATCAGACGTTGGCAATCATTTTGGCGATCCTGTTTTTATCAGCAGCCGCATGAAAAAGTGCTGCTGAGTTTTGTTCAAACAAAAAAAAAAATCTATTCATACTGCACAATCCAGTATTTTTTCCTCTGGAAAA